TTCTATATTTTTTATTGCAAATTTTCAACGGCATGGAAATACTTAAAATTTTGGCCAAATTTGACAAATTAAAAATACCAAAAATGCATTGTGCATCTGAAAAATCAAAATCAGATGAGTCCTTATTTGACTAAGGATAATTATATTCACTTGACGATTTTTATCTACATGATAGTTATATATATTTATTAAAATATTGTTTTAATAAATACACCACAATTTTTTTACAAATATAACTTAACCTGATTTAAGAGATAAAAGAAAAAAAAAAGTATAAGAAAAAGTATACACGCCATATTCATACCCATTTCTCAATGTTAACCCATCTAATTTCTTTTGCTCTTGTTAGTCCGCGCCCATTCTCATTCTTCCAAAGGTAAATTCCATTCTTGGTAAGTGAGAATGACAGAGCTAAGATGAAAATCATAATAATAAATAAATAAATAAATAAAAAGAAAAAAAAAAGAAACTTAAATAAAAAATGAAGTTACATGTTTTGTTCGAAACTTTTGTTAAGAAAACGAATCAAAGTCGTGTAAAACCAATACAAATAAGATAATGTAGAAAAGGGAATCAACATTTTTCAAAAATTTGAATAATAAAAAATTTTGAGAACCCAAGAACCCAAGAACCGAAGAACCGAATCTTTCTAATTTTTTTTTATATTGAATAAATCAAATTATTTTAATTTTAATTTTTTCTAAACAAATTAACAATTTCTAAATCCAAATTTTTGGCCCAATAATTTGTTTCATTTCTAATTTTTTAATTTTTGGTCCAACTACCCCTTTTATTGTCTCATTTTTTAGCCCAACAAGATCCAACCTACAAAATAACACCAAATACCTACACTAAAGTGCATAACGCTGTCTCGACTCTCGCAGCCTCGCTGACATTCCAAAACCTATACAATCGTCGACCGACGCTGTGACCTCCGCCAACCGAAATTGTGACCGTAGCCATCATTTGAACAAGGTAGTCTACGAGTCTCTAACATTTCAAAACCATTGAATATGTCATTAGTTGTATTTATATAATGTTGTTATAAATGTTAAAAAATTTAATTATAATACAGAACCGAACCGAACGGAACTGAACCGAACGAAACCGAACCCGAACGGTTCCATAATTATATTTGGATTCGACGGTTCCATTTACTAAATACCCGAAAATTTTGGTTCGGTTCGGTTCTCTTTAGAACCGAACTGAACCGACCCGCGCCCACCCCTAGATATGCAAATGAAGCTCTTAGAGGAAATTTATTGGGAAAATTTCATAAACTTAGGTACTTAAAATTTCAAATTCATAATTCAAAGGTGAAGAAGCTTTATGCAAAAATCAGGTACCCACTACAAAACCTAAATTCCCCATCCCCGTCTCTAATGTCTTCTCCTTGTTCTCTCCTCTCTCAGTACCCGACGTCTCTCTCCTCTCTCAACAGTCAGCGCCTCTCTCTTCTCTCAATAGTAGCGCCACCGTCGTGGAAGAGAATCTCTAGCGCGACAGTGTCACCGTTGGACTTGAACCACGCCTCTCTATTTCGACCGGTCGGAGGCAATTTCTTCCATTTTGATCCATCTTCCTACCCATGTAACGCCCCGAAAATTTTAGAATAAAAGTATATATTATACTTTTATATTTTGGAAAATTGAGGACTAAAACGAAATATATTTTAAATTCATATTTTAGTTGGGCCAAATAATTAAGTATCGATAGAATGAAATTTTATTTATCAATATTGGGCTCGTTGAATAGCTCGTAATTAATTACATATGTTAGGCTTGAGGAAAAGTTGATATGAATAAGTTAAGCCCAAGATATCGAAGTTTAAATAAGTTGTAGTTTATTATAAATTAGTATGGATTCTTATTTGAATTTCAATTGTTTGGCCACTTCACGTGGGTGTGTATATATATATATATATATATATATATATATATATAATCTTGGAAAACGTGTGAATATAGGAATTTTCCTTTTTATTGCCTCACTTTTATAACGTGAACTTTTGGTGAGGTTTGGTGTGAAGGACAAATATGGAAAATTTGTGTGTGAAATGCTGAATTCTTGTCAACACACATTCTGAAAAATTGACAACTTTCATCAATTAAAAGAGCAAATAATGGTACACGGCAATCATGGTCCTATACTATCAATGTTTCAACCATCATTGGCTTGAAATTAGGCAAATTGCCGTGTTTGACTGTGAAACGACTTTCAAACGTGCAAAATTTAAAGACACGCATTGAGCCATTTTATGGAAAATAAGTGATTTTAGAATATAATATAAATATTATGGATAAAAAAATTATGATATGTTTTATTTATTCAAAAACGCACATACACACGAGACATCAGAGAAAGATTGTGGAACGTGAGAATTATTTCTTTTCTACCAGAAAACTCTTTTCATCAATCAAGGTAGGATATTGAGGTGCAAAGTTTTTTGTCCCGTTTAATTATTGTTCTTATATGTTGATGAATTTTATACTCATGAAAGTTAATGCTATGATATGATGTTCTATGATATGAATGATATGGCCATTCCGGTACAATGATATGATATGATACGATATGTTATGAGCTCTTACTAGATTTTAAAGGTATGAGACGGTATAATATTTTGATACACGTGTTTAAAATTATTATTCGGGATTGCACCATTAAAATTTTTATATCCTACTGAGTATTCCCATATACTCACCCTTTTTCCCTACACCTCACAGGGTAGATCAGGTTATGTCGGAGCGTGATGGTTCGTTGGTGTGTTGGTGCCTTGTTTCGCTGGTTAAAGATCTAAGTTAGTACGTAATTTAATTTATTTTAAATTTATTGCAATGAACATTTATTTATAAATAAATTTTCATATATGTTTATATGCAGATGAATATATGTAGTCTGCATTTTAAAATAACATTTCGAATTAAACATTATTTTTTTTTCGATTTCGCTGTTAGTATTCTTGTAAAAATGACTGGGTATGCTTTTACTATTTGGTTCATGTTAAAGATTATCTTTATGTATATTCTGTGACATTCCTAGAATTAATGAAAACGTATTGTCTAAACAATGTCACATCACTTTTTTTTTTCATATGACTGCTTGGGTATTACAATACATCAGGAATGGAGACTTAAATGTTGGTTGGTGAATGACAGTCACTATAAATGCTGTGAGTACCTATTTATTTTGAATTAGTTTGTGGCTTCTGTTTTCCATGCATACCAAATTTAAATTGAACGTGCAATAATTGTAAAGGCAATTTATCACGTTACTTATGTTGAAATTTAGTGATAATTATGACGCGTTCATAAGAAATTAAAGGATTTAAAAATAAAAATAAAAAAATTTGTAGCGAATTAAATTATAATGATTTGGGTCGTTACAACCCATCCCTCTCTATTTCGATTGGTCGATTGGCGCCTTGCAGTGGTGCCACGTGATGCAGCAACATACGGTGAGGCGACGACGAAGGGTGTGAGTGCCGCTTCACTGCTCACAATGGCGACGGGATGGCAACGGTAATGGGATTTGCGATATGTTGTAGTGAACTTTGATTTGTTCCAGAACCATAGCCATTTGTGATTTGCAGCCTCGGTCGATGTGGTTGGTCTGTGATCTGTCGGAGAGGTGGTGTATTGTCTCGTGTGTTGGTTATGGTCGTGGTGGCTATGATCGTTTCCAGCTGTGGTTTTGTTGGTGGTGGAGACGTTCGTTATGTGTTGTTGGTGAGTTCGGTGGTGGCGATCGTGGTGGCTTCTGGTGGTGGTAAAGGTATTCTTGTGGCTTTTGGTGGCGATGGTGTTCGCGTTGGCAGTGGTGATGTGGGTGGTGTTGCTGAGGTGTGGGTTGGGCATTGTTGGTGTATTTGGTGGTGGCAGGCATATTGGTTCCTAGTGATGGAGGTAGTTGGTGGTGGCTGTGGTTGTCCTAATTTTTGTTGGCATTTGATTTGATTTGGTGGTGTGTGTTGGTTTGGTTTTGCTGGGAGGTGGTAGTGGTAGTGGCGGTGGTTGTGATGGTGTTGTAGGTGGGGTAGTATTTGTGACCAAGTATTATGGTGGATCGGGATCGGGTGTTTGACGTTTGTGACCAACTATTTGGTTCCTTGTGACTGTATTAATTCGTGACTTTAAAATTCGATCATTTTGTAATTAAAAAAGTAATTTGTGACTATCAAATTTAAAAATATATGACCCGTGACCTATACTTTTTGAATTTGTGACTATTTGTAACCTATAATTTTTTGATCTGTGACATATCAAAATTTTGATTTGTAACCTCAAAAAAATCTGTAACCATAATACGTGATCAGTAAATAAATCTGTGACTTATAATTGTGAATTTGTGACCATTAATCGTATAATTGTGACTTTATATCATTATTTAATAAATATTAATAATTAATTAGTTAAAACCTGATTTTTGCATTAATGAAACTTGTAACCTGAATTTTGCATTATGCATAGTTAAAACCTGATTTTTGTACTCATCCCAAATTTTTTTCTAACTTAACAATGATTTTAGACAGTCTAGGCTTCTCGTAATTTGAAATGTCTTTAGCACAAGAAAAAACAGCCAAGGGACTCTACCCTCTAACGACAAAAATAACCGTACTCATTTCTAGCGTTTTAAAAAGTGTAAAACGTAATTAAACGAATGAGTTAAGCTTCAAACTTTACGAGCCCAAACAAACTTAGGTGAAACCTAGACGTTAAAAAATATTTTCTTATTTTAACACTATTTTAAATTTTTAATGATTTTTAAAATGATTTAATAATTAAAATAATATGTAACAAACATCTCAAATTATAAAATACTGAATTTACTTAATAATTCCTAAAATTAGTTAATTATATAATTTTCAAATTTTCAAAATGCAAAAATTAAATTATTTTTATTATTTAACTTTTAACTAAACAAGCCTTACTTAAAATTTCTAAAGTGCTTTCATTTTTGTATTTTGTACAGATAAAATCATTTAAAACACTTAACCCTAAACCAAATAAAAGTCTTCTAAAGAGAGGAGAAAAAGTATAAAAAAAAATTAATAAAGCACCACTAGGCGCTCATCGCCAAGGCATGATGTTTTGCTCGAGCTCGCGTCTAGATGGGCTTTTTAGAACACTGCTCCCAATGAACCCATATGGTTGTTCTTGCTTGAACTTTGATCAGTAATTAATGGACTACAAAAGTTACCTACAGTACGTTATGGAAGTCGTCATCTTCTGGAGATGATTCACCAGGGGCTCCTCCAGATCTTTGATAGACCGCTATTATGATTGGGTTACATGCGGCTTCCACCTCCTTAAGCTTCTCTTCGTAGTCCTCTTTCTCTGCGTTTTGTTTGTCGTCTAACGACTCAAGGGCCTCCTTTGTAGCAGTCTCGATCTTCAGCTTCTCGGCAGACTCGAGCTTGTCCTTGTCGTTGATTTGGTTCTTCATGCGGTAAATGTATGTCTCGAGACTGTCACGAGCATCAATTCTTTCCTTCACATTCTTGTCTTCCTCAGCAAACTCTTCTGCTTCGCGAACCATTTTCTCGACCTCCTCTTGGCTATATCGATCGCTCTCGTATGTTATGGTAATCTTCTCTGATTTACCGGTGCTCCCGTCTTCTGCCTTGACGTTCAAAGTACCATAGGCATCAACTTCGAACGTCACCTCAATTTGAGGGGTTCCCCTGATAAAATAGAACACAGGATTCACTTCAGATGACAAAATTTAAACAGCAAGTAAATTAATAAAGAATTCAAAAGAAGAATGCAACCAACCTCAGTGCTGGAGGAATGCCGGTGAGATCAAACTTTCCGAGCAGCCTGCAGTCTTTTGTAAGACTCCTTTCTCCTTCAAAAACCTGTTAACAAATTGTCGGATCCTCTCAGCTAACGTTCAAACATGCCATTTTTTGCAGGACATAATCACCCACTTATCTAACAGTACGAACAGGGTAAGAATTATTTGAAACATTACCTGAATAGAGACAGTAGTTTGCTGATCTTGGTAAGTGGTGAAAACTTGGGACGTCTTGGTTGGGCTAACATGGTATTCGTTCCTCACAATCAATTTAGTCATAACTCCACCCACATTTTCGATACCAATGGTGAGTGGTGCCGCCCAGAAAAGAAAGTCTGTACATCAGTCATCCATTCAAAAAAAAGCAGTCTATAAACATCAATAAATCAAGACTGAAGCAAGTACACACACACACACACACAGAGAGCAATCGGTCGACAAGATAACAATTGATGTGATAAACACCTGTTGTTATTCCTCCACCTTCTCCACTTAGAAGACTTCCTTGGATAGCAGCACCATAAGCAACAGCCTCATCTGGGTTCACACCCCTGTTGGGCTCCTTCCGATCGAAATAATCCTTGAGGAGCTGCTGAACTTTAGGGATCCTGGTGCTTCCACCTACAAGGACGATTTCATCAATCTGATTTTTCTCCAAATCGGCATCTTCCAAGGCTTTCTTCACAGGTCCCATGGTCTTTCTGAAGAGGTCATTGTTCAACTCCTCAAATCTGGAACGGGTCAATGGTTCAGAAAAATCGATACCATCAAAAAATGATTCAATTTCAACACGGACTTGGTGCTGACTGCTCAGGGCTCTCTTAGCACGTTCACATTCTCTCCTTAGCTTCCCAAGAGCTATGTTATCTTTGCTGATGTCCTCTCCATGCTTTTTCTTAATCAGGTTGATGAAGTATTCCATAATTCTGTGATCAAAATCCTCTCCTGCACAAAAGTGAAACTTCCATATATTGTAACGCGAGAACTCCCAAAATGTTAATTCTAACTCTTCCTCATTGCAGTGCAGAATAATATATACATAGTGGAGAACTAGTTTTTACATAACTACTATTTTAAATTCAGCAATCAAACTCAACCTATTATCATGAGACGTATCTGAATAATATATATTTCTGATTGCTCAATGGATCATAATCCAGTTGATCTCTCAGCTCTATCATTGAATGACTGTGTTCAAGGGCTGTCCGTTTGGATAATATAACGTTTTGTACTTTAATCACTATAACTGCATGATTCAATGCCACTAGCATCCGGGATAGATCAGTTCCCAAATATTGATTGCCTAAATAAATGCACTTATTAAATATATCAAAGTAGAGATAATAACAGAAAGATCTGTACCTCCAAGATGGGTGTCTCCATTAGTGGCAAGCACCTCAAAGACACCGTTGTCGATGGTCAAGATACTGACATCAAAGGTTCCACCACCAAGGTCAAAGACAAGGATGTTCTTCTCCCCACCTTTCTTGTCCAAATTATAGGCAATTGCTGCTGCTGTTGGTTCATTGATAATCCTTGCCACGTTCAAGCCAGCAATTACACCAGCGTCATTGGTGGCCTGCCTCTGTTCATAATTGAAGTATGCTTCCAGTTATAACCACAAACAAATGGATAGTATAACCAAATAGACAAAATGTCATTAGTTAAGGTTTCACTAAAAGTAAAACAACGTGAAGATGGTAAATCATAAAAGTTAGACTTACCAGGAACTGTTACAACAGCATCCTTAATT